TAGTTTTCGGGAATTAAAAGTCGTAAAATCATCCCTCAGATTAAGAAGATTGATCAAAGTTGGGCCTCTGAAACAAAGAAGCTGTTTGAGAACCTGTTGTAGCATACATATATACAGTTGATATGTCCTGAATCGGGGCGAAATTCATCTTTATCCTCACGAATTCTTCGTTTTCCATATCACTTGAGCAATTCACAAGATAAAGCCACCGAGTAACTCAAGTGTTACAACCACCAGACTGTTATCATGGCAGTCCATGAATGACGTGCATGCAGCCTTTTTGAGGGCTGGGATTACGATCGAAGCCTTTCCTTCAAACTAGGACCGTCACACAGCTCATCAGGACTTCATTATCTTTTCTGAAAAAAATGCGGGGTGCAAACCAGCCTGGTCAGACACCTAATCGCATCGGGAAGGTGACATCTCGAGTCAAACTTCATTTAGTTCGGAGTCGAATGGATTTGCTCAAATTTGGTATGAGTAATTTGTCTGGAAGGTGAATGGACAACCGGGCCCATACTACGACATAAACAGAGTTCATTTGCGCAGGCCAGTCTCTGCATAAGGTTATCCACTTGCAACCGACTGCCAAACGATCTATCTAGGTGTCTGACTTGTTTGCTTTGGAGGCCTTTGGGGAACTTGATGCTAGCGGCTGGAAGGAAACCATGAACCTCTGCGCTACAATGAAAATTCATGTGCAGGAACAGAAGGAAGGTTTCAGCTTGTAGACCATGGTCAAACGAGGCACCAGTGTGTAAGGATATGGCCGTTTTTCCTGTTTCTAATCCACGAACATCTGGCTTTTTTGGGTCCTGTATGTCTTATGGGTCAAAGAAGACTGGAGAATTTCAACCGAAATACACATGTGTGCAACATTGAGTTTTTGTCCCGTGCACTTAAAATCTGAAATAGCTAAAATCCTGTCCATTACTTGGTCTCTTTTGTGTTCTCTTTGCCTACCAGTTACATTATTCTACCTGTGTTTGTTGGCATATAGTTGGACGGAGCGATGGAAATCTATGCAAGCGAAGGTGTGGCATACGATTGTGGCGTTCGGTTTTTACATTTTCGTAGCGAAAATGGTATATCTCCCCGTTTAACTAGCATTGAGAGTTCCGGGTCGTGATTTGTGAGACTACGATTTATGGGAAAGTTCGATCCAACTCCAAGCTTGATTTGCCTTCTTGTTAGGCAAAAAGATAATTGAGAAATACGGACGGACTAAACTGATGCCACTCCTTACGTCATACTGCTTTCCACCAAACCTGTCAGCTACAAGCTTTTTCTTACGTCGTCTTATTTCGTAGCAGACCACAGATCACCAATACGGTAATCGTAGACGTCACGCAATTCTGAGCAACATTTTTTCACGTGTCGTCTGGTTCTCTGAAAAAATTCAGGTGCGACTTACAGGCACTTCACAGTCCGAACACTCACTTGTGTTTTCTGGAACCGGCCAGAAAAAATCGAAAATTGCCTCTGATAACATCTCTTCTCCAATATTTCAACTTAGTGTTCCCACTGAATTAAGCTGCTTGCGTCGCTTGACGCTATTTCGTGGTCCCAAATATCACTTTCAAACAGCGTGGTTTATATGTATACTTGGGGCTAGGAAGTTGTGTGTACGTCGACCTCACCGTGATGTCCTTACACAGCCTTTCAACTCCGAACAAGACTGCGCCGATCAGTTTTCCAACTTTTTCAATGTAGACTTCACTCACTTGCTACACACACTACTCATCTGAGTGGTCTGGTCCAAATGGTTTGTCACTGTTTTCTGGTTGTCTTTGTGAATAATGCACTTCTTGAAAAAACCTTGTGGTTGTTTTATCATTTAGGCCGGCCCTCCAAAGCTATACTTTATATTGAGTCTTCACACGATTCTTCTGTATTCAGATCTCTGCAGAAGTAAGTGCTTAGGTATACTTGAATTGCCCATGAGAAACGTATTGCATCCGATTTTTAAACAAACTTTCAGCCCAAGAATCATTCTGATGAATGTTCCATGATAAGACCCTGGGGACGTGTCAACAGCTTCCGGAAATTCTCCGAGTTGATTGAAATGAAAACTTATCGCATCACCTGCTAATTAGCTGACGACAAATTTCTGTGTCATTGATTACTTTGAGAATAACACTTGGGTTGGAAATAGGGCCAATCAAATTGAAATGCGCAGGTACTCATGAGCCTCTCTGAATAGCTATTACATTGGATTTGTGACCTCAGTTACCCCTTGGGCTGATCCCAGAATGACGGCCAAAAATTACAAAAGATTATTACATTTGACAGGCCATTATGATAATCAGCAATAGTACAACATTGGCGTTCTACGCTATTCTGGTGCAATACAGTCATAATCTAGGGAAGAGCCTCACTGTAAAAAAAACTTTTTGGCCCCTATAACTCAAGACTCTCATTCAGACATTCTTGAGAGAAATTGACAAAAGTAAACCTACTGACTTCGATTGGCAGCCAGATTTGCAGCGTTTGAAACAATGCACAGGTGAGGATCACGCAGCGAATGCGAGTCGCACCGGCAGGACCACTCCGGTATAGGCACAAAACACGAAGAACTTGACCCAACCACTGCAGCTTCTGGGGCTTGACACCTTCGATCAAAAACCTTGTTTTAAAACCAAACACTCGTTTCCTAACTGTATTCTTGTGAATTCGCTGGCGCCAACGTACACGAGTGACAGCTCTAGGACACCTCTCGCCAGACACCAAGAAACATCTCAGTTGCGTTAGTAACAGCATTAAATTTCAGCAACCCGCAGAAAGTAGTAAAGGTGTCGAACCTACAATATGTAAAATGGAGTTGTATGAAGAAAACACATATTTCTAGTGTAAACCTGTTTACATTCTCTTTGTTCATGGTTGAAAAAACCAAAATAAACCAATTTCTTAGCCATCTTGGCTTGAATTATTCTGAATTTAGATAGAAACCAACAGTTTTCGTAATTTTGTGGTAAAAATTGCTAGGGAAATTCAAAGCTCTCCGCGTTCAAATGAAAAGGCATACTTCCTTTTACTAAATGCATCTGTTTTTTGGTCCGTAGCGACAAAAGCACTTCCTATTTTTAACCAAAATGCCGGCAACCCACTCTTGTTTTATTCGTTCAACTCTGGGGCTCTAAATAAAATTAAACGGGAGCAGAGGAGGCGCTAGTTCCCGTAAAGGCGCAGCGAAAAAAATTCGCAACTACCATATTTTTAGTCAATATTCTCACATTTCGGGTTCAAGTATATTGAAACTTTCGGGGCAAAAGAAACTAACATCAAAAGATTTCATGCTAAATCACAACTCGTTTATTAAAGGACTCATGATAAATGAAAAATGGTTTCTTCTAAGCCATCATCGTTGCTGATTGGCCGAAAATGAGTATTTATATATAAGAACTATATATGTTCAATAGGGGGTTAAACGTTTATTCTCACTCACCCTTTCCTGCCATCGGCCGTTTTTTAGCTGTTTATTGATAAAGTTTATTTGTTCATTAAATTAGATGATTTACTTTACATCTGGAAACTAGTAGTTTGGCAGTAGCAGAATTATCCTGCCTGTCGCACACAAAGCTTTCACGGCGAAACTTGTGTTTTTTTTCTACTTAAGTACTCAGGAATATGTCCATGCAGCCTATGAACATTATTCGTCATCTACATATTCAGAAATGTAGCTATCGCTACGCTCTCTTCCGTAAAAGTATGAGAATAGCCGAGAAAAGTTTTCTACCGATTTAACGTGCCAAAAAGCCTGGACATCAAAGACAAAAAAACCGAGTAGAAAGAGAAGGAAACAGAGGAATCAATTAACAAATTGCTAGAACGTCTCAAATGCTAAAGCATTATAGCAAACTGAAAAATGTTGATCCTTGAAGTGTTTTATAAGTAAAAAAGTTATCTTTTTTGGAGTGTCTGTTGTCCATGTTTGAATAAGGCCTGAATAATCTCACTGGTACTATCTGCCAGGCGTTCATACTACTGATATTACTGATAAATGATTACAGATAAGAAGACGTAGCTTGGCACTCCTATAATATTATAGTGTGGGTTGCTAAGCCATATTGTGTTATAAGATAGTATGTTAAAGTATCGAGTCCCTTAGGGTGGGTTAGTACGGTACCGTACCACACACAACCGTATGATGCGGCACAGTAGAACTAAGTACAGAATGATCATTTCCGGGGTTCTCCTTGAACAGCTGCATTCAAAACACTTGCAGCGTCCATTAGTCTGCGGCTCCATTGACCTGCAATTAGAATTGCGAAGTCTTGCCCGGGAAACCCTTCAGCTACGTGAAAAGTTTACAATATACACCCCAGAATGGATTACCTTATCCAGACTGAGTAACTTGGTCATGTCGCATTATGTCGCAGGCTACCTGAATTAGTAATTTTTTGTATCCTAACGTGTACCAAAAACAGTTCCACAATATGGTCTTGTCTTTTTATTTTGAAACCCGTAGGGAACATGGCATTCGGGCTAGTGTCACATTGGTGTTTTCTGGATGGAAGTGCATATCTTAACTGGAAGAACAGGCATGACCTTGAAAAGGACATCCTGGCTTTCTTCTCGCATTTGTTAGATGCTTGTCCCTTTGTCACGGTTAACGGTCGGACACGATCAATAACTGCAGTCACAAATTTTCCTGTTTCTTCATTATTCTCCTCTCAACAATGCTTGCAGGGTGAAATGTGGCCTTTCTTTAAATTGGACTTCCATTCTTTTGGATTAAAATCAAAGTAATCGACTTGAAAATGCAGTTATCTTGTACTCATGCTTAGAAGTGTGTTAGTTCATTAGCTAGTGCGCATTCAACGACGATTAGTCTTAAGAAACGGCCGAACATTGGCTGAATTACGTTGATCGTCAGGCCACATATGTGTTGCTGACGGGCTATCGTTTTTACTGTTTGATGTGCTTGTCAGGCTGTTGAAGACCACGTGCACCATTCAGACCAACCGATATAAGTAGTTGAAAACATACAACCGATGATCTTCAGAACCTGACTAGTTCACACATCATGTTCTCTAGGCTGGGCGTTCCGCGTTTGTGTATGTCAGGAGTTTCTTTCACTGCACATAGCACCCTAAAGCGGTCGGTCTACAGAGCATCCCTTTTACGGCCGGTGATCGGAATAAAACGTGAAACGGTGAATCTGTGGGAACAACGATCACCCCTCACGCCAAGCCAGGTACAACAACTAATAAGCCAGCATGGTATTCGAGTACTGGTCCAGCCATCCAACCGACGTTGTTTTACCAGTTTGGAATACGAGGCTGCGGGTGCAGAAATCGCCGAAAACCTGGAGGAGGCCAATCTAATATTAGGAGTAAAACGTCCAGCGGAACTGCGTCCACACGATTTGTTACAGGATAAAACATACGCTTTCTTTACGCATACGATTAAAGCTCAACCGGCCAACATGAAGCTGTTGGACACTCTGCTGGAAAGGGTAAGCTGAAGTTGAAACACTTGACTACCCATTTCCGAATAGCCACCTCCACAAGTTTTGCTAAAACAGGCCATACAGGAAACTAACAAAATTCAGTCGTTTTATTAAGCACTTCACAAGAAAACGGATGGACGTGAAACTTTTGAGACATGGGTGCTTTTTTAGGTTAACTTAATATGCCCAAGTTCAAATGGAATTTAACTGAGAGAAATTTGAGGTTAACGGGACAAAAATTCCGCGCTCAGTAGCACTTGTCTCAAAGTTCAGCACCTTTCATTTGAACTCAACTTGAGATATACACGCAAGTGATTGCACAGCATGAAATCAAAATAACCACGAGCTGAATGTCAAATGGCCTACAAAAATTTGGGCATTTAGATTCCATTATGTACTGACACAACATTGTCCTGACAGTACACATAATTAGTAGTATTGCGCCTTACCAGCGTCTTTCTAAGCCAATGTTCAATGATTGGCTAGCACAGTATCCGGTTCTTGATGTATACAGGCGACACCACGCAACAAACTTGCATGATCAGGCTGTAACTTTTTATTTACAGCAATTCATCCGCACCACAAGATCCCTCGAGTGAGATTCCCGAGAGATTTTCCGTAGTTTTTGTTTCGCCGCACATCATCATGAATCCCTTAAGCTTTTTCCGGGACAAAGATCGGAGGACAAGAGAACTGAACACCAGAGTCCTCCAATTTTTGAGTAACTCCAGAATGACAAACCTTTCCACTGCATCCATAAGCTTTCATAATTTTGCCATCTGTTGCCTTCTAAAACAACTTCGAAGAAGCTGCTTTTGTGCATGTCTCACTAGGCATCGAATAAGCATCTAGCCTTACAAACTGGATGGCTGTTTGTTTTAATCATCTTCACAAATACGCTACTGTGCTCATGAAAATGTACCGGCAGTTCGCAGTAACTAAAAACTTACTTCTTACTTGCAGTACATCAAGCCCGAAATAAATCAAACGTTATGTCGGAATATTTAGGTAATCTAGATCCAGTGACTTCCGTACTAGAGTGTGTCACACGAATGGAGGGAGTGTTCGGAGTTTATACTTTTCAGGTGTGGAAATCCATGAGTATTTCTACTGAATTCTCCAGGGATGTTGTGCACGGCTTACCCGAGCTGCGCACAAATTCTTTCGGAATCATTCCTTTGTGAGTCGTGTCTAAGCTTTAATTAGCGGTCAAACCTCAAACAAAGAAGGAAATTTCTGTTTTGTGCGGCATTCACTGTAGGATTCCGTGCAGTTCTAAATAAAGTGTTGAACCGGTATCAGTTATAGCAAGTCTACCAATGCAAGGACCTGTAATGGAAGAAATGATCAACCGTAATATCATCTCTAGGATGTCCAACTGCTGATCTGACACCGACAACTGCTGATCTTATAGGTACACAAGAATGCTTATCCACAGATATTCTCTTTTCTGGCGCGGCTATTTATTTCAGCCCATGAAAAGGGTTTGGAGAAACGGAGTTAACTACCAACCTACAAGATTTCACCAATAATGTCGGGATTCAAACTCCGGACCTTTGACATACAAGTCAAGCGTGTTGTCACTACTAAAATTGCGTAAACCGGGAGCACATGATGCATCAGTTATAGGGACACAAACATGGTTACTCATACTCCGGATGCCACCAATGTTTATTTGATACACCCAACAGTTGCTTGTTAGTTGATGACGCTAGTTAGCTCTTAAGGCCACGTTAAGTTACCTAGTTTCAAACCTTACCTAGAACATTCTGAAACCAATTCTGTTGAATGAAAGTCGCATTATGGCTAATGAGTTGGCAGTTCACATCAACCAAACCAGAATTAGCATTGAAGAGTTAAAAATCAATGGTTGCATTCAGGTTACAGACCAGGGATGTCTATTAGTCAAAAACTGTTGCATATGAACCTGAGACGCAGGTATGCTGCTCAAAGTCGTTCATTGATTCCTTCTGAAAATCACCATAATCTTTTGAAGTCTGATGATGTGACAGAGCGCCATGACTTTTCAGCGACACACTCCCCGCCTCTGGTAGCAACAGATTCATCGACTTCGGGCGACATGCGACAACTTGGTACACATGAACAGCACACTAGGATCCAAATTTCTAGTACTAACTTGTATACCTGGAGAGTTACTTTCGTTATAAATGCTTGGACTTGGAGCTGACAGCGTAAAGTGGAAGTTTTCAAAGACCAAAGCAAAATCAGAGCTACCACATGATACATTCTGTCACAGAAACAAGCGTATGCAGCTGCGCAGAACTTTGAACAAATGCGTGTCATAGGATAAATCACATTCTAACGCTCACCTGGATTATTGTGTGACTTACATAGCATACAGTATGGATTGGAGATGCACTTACCGTCAGCCACTTTTTTGTCCGACACGATCTTACAGTGTTTAGGGCTAATCTATAAAGTGGTGAGAACGTACCCAGAACAATTGAAGTGCAATAATTTATAGACATTATCTTTTCTTTTGACGTATGATACTGTTGTTTGTGATGACCAAAGGCAGTGAAAAAAAACTGAAATTAAGTGCGCAATACGATGCAGTTAATAAAGTGGTTGACTTTGTAAATATATGAAAATTTAACTTAATTTGAAAGTTATTGAGGATGTATAACAGGTACTTTGAGAAAACCATTATACTTCAGCCACCTAAATGCGTCGTCCCGTATCTTGGTACATTGTTTTCCAAACAAATGTTTGTGGCCATCATCGGGAGTCACGATTGAATAGGTTTGGCCTCTGCAAGTAAAAGCGTGCAGATTAAATTGCTACTTCTATTGAAGACTAGCTTTAGTGAACTGGCCAGCACAGAACAACACATTCTGAGTATATACAGGCCGTATGCAGGACAAGTAGCTTATGCATTTTTTGTTGGGCACTTACGACGAAGCAAACTCACTATTCGCGTTGTCATTTTTTCGCCATTTTTGCCAAATGACAACGCTACTCGTGCGGATGGAACATCTGTTAAGGACGACTGGAGATATGTTCCAAGTCTAAGATGAATAGTTCGTTCCTGTACACCCTCACCCTGTGATCGTGAATCCTCATCTAACCGCGTTGGCACTACAGTAAAAATCAGTGCGGAAGAGAGATTGATTAAGTAGACGAGTGTTCCTTTCATCTGAAAAGTCCTCACTCGAGAGGCTTGTCAAGATGTGATGACCCTCTGGCATGGGTTCCATTATTTAAACGAGTCCCGCTAAATTCTTCGCAAATCTGAGTCGTGCACCTATTAGTATCCAACTATTAGCCGAGAGGTCGCGGACTCAGATCGCCCTGGAGGTTCTTGGGATACCAGCTGCTGATAACTTCAAGTAAGGAAAAAAGGCATACCTTGCTTCTTCGCCGCCGGTATACAATAACTCTATTTACAGAGGAAACAATTCAGCACAGCCTCAGGTTTTCTTGGGACTTTTTCAACTTTTTGACTACGGACCTCGGTGATTGTTGATAGCTAAGCTGTTGTAGATACGCCGTTCATCGGTTTCATGAAACTTCTCAAAAGTACAGTCCATAGAGACAATTTTAATCACAAGATAATTTTTCTGCTTCGTCAATATGAGAGCATAAAAAGTCTACTTCCGGCAAAGACGGATAGATGATCGGATCCGTGAGGGTAATTTGGAACAACCCCTTTATGATGTTTCTGTTCTATTTCTTCGCATCTATTTGTCCTTTATACCGAAAAACTGTGTATGATCTATCGACAATCTTATGGTTAGGTAATGAAAAGTTTGTTCACCCGATGCGCCTGAGTGTACGCCAGTCACATGCCCATATACTTCGCTCAAAAGTGCAAGTATTGTGTAAGCGTTGTGGCAGCTGTCTGAGAGAAACTAGCCTGTATAAAACGGCTGAACTGACGGTTACCTGATGTAAACAAACTGAATATGATAATTTCAGTTGGTAGACAGTAGATTTTGCATAGTAAGAGTGTTGTTCTAGCAGCGTTTACGTATATTCAATCCATGAAAGGGACCAAAGAGACCGCATACTATAAGAGAGTCTACAGTAAGCAAGTTCTTATCAGTTCCTATGGGTTGGTCCTTGCACACACTGACTTTTTTTACGAATACCTGCAAAGTGTTCATTTAGTTTATCGAGAGTAAATACCCTGATAACTTAACACGCATGGTGGCAACTCGAAAGTTGTAAATGACCTTAAAGGCGACGTTAGCTGCATGGGTCAAGGTACCCTGACCGAGGATACTGAACATCGTTTTGGTACTTAGCAGATTTTTGAATCTATCCCCATATTGTAAGGACATAAATTACCTAGACTTACACATCCACAATACCGCTTTCGCCTTCACCCTTCACAGCAATACCTGTTTTGTACGACCTATTAGTCCTTGAATAGTGATACACCTGTTGCTGATTTTGTTGATGGACATAAGCCAACTTCAACTCTAAAGCGGGTTTCTCGCTTACCAGCCCAAAGCTAGGTTCTGGAGAGACGCACCCATTTGCAAACAAATTTCTTTTTGCGACAGACCCACTTTGAACCCTCCTATTGGTTTTCAAGCAGCTGAATCTGCCGCACAGACCGCTTCTTGTTTCAGTTGGAAACTCGAGGACCACGACTACCTGGTGAGCCACAAGAAGGGCAGACACCGTCATGGGTTGTCGAAGAATCCTCAGCAACCCTATAAGTAGTGTAGCATGTCTAATTTCTAGTGAGTAAAGTATAAATTCTGTTTCAAGAACCATGATCTTAAGCTGTCATCCTGTCGTGTTGGTTGGACTTCTGTGCCGCAGTGATCCTGCGGATGATACCAGCTGAAACCCGCTTCCTAAAGGATCAGCCATGTCCTTTAAACGTTTTAAACGGTGTTATAACCCCTGCAATCTTACTGTTCATATTCTGCAAAAAGTCTGACTTATTCCAAACACGGCTTCTCCAGTGAAGCAACTTCTCTTGCTGGTAGAACTTGTGCAGTTATATTATGGTTTTTCAATCTGATGTTTGT